TGCTCCTGAGAAGGAGTGAAGGGAGAATACCTGAAGCGAAATTTATTTCGACATAATTAAATAGTGCACTTTACACAGGCGCGAGAATAAATTTTTGAAGGAAATTGGCTCATGAGACTTTGCACACTTGTAAAATAAACAGTTTTTATCGCAGGTTTCTCAAACCTTGGAATTGTGTATTTCAAATTAACGATATATTTTCAAACTGCAACGAAACAATTTGAGTTAAACAATATAATACAGAAAACTAACAATACTTCAAATCAGTGGGAAGAATTCCCACTAAGTCTAACAATTCCTGGGGTAAAATTAAATTGAAAAACGTTCATATGGACAAGGGAAAATGAAAACAAATTCACTTCAGCGCTATTCCTGTCCTAAAATCTCAGTTCTGAGTCTCCATTTGTTCTCCCCTTTTCCATATTACCAATAAATCAGCCCCATCGAACGACACAAAAAAAACCCTCAAGATTTAAACTCAATGCCAGATAGATCCTAGGTATTTAGCTGTGCTTCTTTTATATCTACACTGACATAATTCCAGTATTAGTCTCATTGTGATTGTGACATACGGTAATAGGTTCAGTTCACGTACGTGATGGTGATAATAACCATGCAAATCTGTGAGACAATTGAGTTTTTAGTTTTGACATTTTTTCACCATGATACCCATTGAATGAGGCTGGTATGGAGCACTACGATAAATAAAATTTTCTGAATTCGAAATGCCCGAAGAAGGACATTCCACTTGATTTGAAAACGTGCAAACTACCTCCCTGCTTTGTGAATCTGTGTATCAACATTTGAGCAGTTAAGTCGTTTTGTTCATTCTGACCTGGAGACGAAAATATCTGAAGCCCATGCGTGAAACTGTTTGACTGTTTATAACTTTGTCAATAGAGAAGTGAGAGCTGCCAAACTTCAAATTGCTTCTGAAATTTAACTAAGAAGAACCTGGTTTGACATGTACTGGTACTCGGTATTTGATGTTTCTAAGGAAAACGTACTTTGATAGGCATTAAGATTTTAAATTTTCTTGTTCCTATTCACCTTGATGCACTCATTCTAACATTTTTATGAGCTATCAACACTTTTTCATTGGTTTCGGTTAGTTTTGTTTCATTTTTGTGGTTTTCTGAAGGACTCAAAAATAGCGGAGTTAGGAAGGCGGCTTTCGGCATGCAATGACGTAATCACCATCTAATATGACGTAATCATAACATTTTGCTCACCTCAAAGGAAACAATTTCGAAGTCTTGTACACTCTCCAAGCTTCGTTATCATTGCTTCAAAGAAAATTTAGAAAAGAGGTTAGGGAGGGTGGGCGGAATTTTAACCCCCTTCCCTCGACTGAAGGAGCCTAGCCTAATCTGAATTAGAAAATTTCTATATTTTTAAATTCTAGCATCGCTTTGAAGATTGAGGAAGCCTTGAAATAAGCCTTGGTTCCATGTCAGAATTTTAGTATATCGAAATTGCCCTAGAGAGTTAATGAAAAATGTCCATACGGTAGTAGGATATATGACTAATTATTTGGTCTGACAGTGTTAGGGGCGTTGTGTTTACAACAAACGGAGGTTTGCTCTCGAGTGAAATTGACTTTATAACTGATGAAACATAGCCTTGAATGCCTGGGCCTGGACCCGGTAAATTCCACTAGTAAAGGTAATCAAATTATTCTGAGTGCAATCTAGAATAAATAAGCACAAGTCAATATTTCAAAGACAAAAAGTTGCACGAGCTCTTAGGGTGAGTGCAATTTGTAGTCTTTTAAAGAAATGATCAATGCTTCTATATCCCAAATTGCACTAGAAAAATCGTTTGATTATGTGCAAATTAATAACGCAAATGCAATTTAATTTCAACTTTCTACACTGTTTGGGATTAATCGACGTGCTCTCAGCCAATCAGCATGCTGAGATTTTTGCATGTTTATTATTAGGACCTATTAGGCATAATTCAGGTTGCAAGAATACCAATTTCTAAAAATGATGTTTTGGCGACAATGTGCAATATGATGAATGCAGT